CAGAACAGAGTCACCACTTTCACCTATTAAATTAACCAACCAAATATCTATTTTACTACTTTTGACACCTCTTCTTTTGACACTTTTTGGCTCAGCTCACAATGCTGGGGATGAGAAAACCCTGCCACATTGCTTTTCAAGGCCTGCTGAGACCACCTTGGCTGATCTGCATGGAAGGATTTACTCACTAAGGAGTGAGTAAACTGAGTACCACTGCTCCCCATGGCAGTGAACAGCTACCAGGGTGCACACAGGTTACTACAGATGCCGGCAGCCCGGGTGTGCCTCCCCTGCTCACACCTGCAGTGACACTGAGGTCCCAGGGATGCCGTGACGCTCACGGCTCCGTGTTTATCAGACAGAATGTTCTCCATGGCAGGGACAGGAGCACAGACAGCTTAGCACTCATGTGGGATGAGTCACCAGCAAGAAAGGGAGAGAACACACTCCTGCCCAGCCAGGGAAACCTATCCAGTTCAGACATCTCAGAAAGCCCTATTTCAAAGGAAAAATACACTACCCATGCAACAAAAACATATCTATGACAGCCTCCCACTATTCCCAAACAACTCAGCAGTGAAGCTGCTGGCATTTAAAACCCAGGTGCTCTCATCAGGTTTGAGAAGGATCCCCACACTCCAGTAACCCAATACCAACCAAAGAGGTGTTAAATGCACACAGGAAAGCAAAGCATGGCTCAGGTGATCAGCCACAGCAACATGAGATAATCCACACAGAGCACCTCCAGGAGAAGCTTGGCCTGGGCTGCTCCCACGTTCAGACTGGGGGGTTACACAACCACCACCTCTGAACCATCCCTTCCACCCTGTTCCCTGCTTCCCTCGGACCTGGCTGACAGAAACAGCACATGGCACACACTCTGAACGCCAGGTGCTGCACCACCTGAGCCGTGCAGCATTTCCTACCCAGGCTGGGCTGAATCCTCTGAATCATCCTGCAGAGCCTCACCAAGGGCATGGGGAGGAAGGTTAAAGCAGTTTTATCCTTCCCTCAGCACAGTGACACATGTGCTTCCTTTAAGATGGTGTCTGCAGGACCAGTAAGCTCCCACTCTGTTCTCATAGCCCATTTCAACGCCAAATTTCTGTACCTGGATATTCCAGGAGCTGCAGTTCACTAAGGCTCTCAGAACTGAGCCACAGGAATCAGTTTTAATGCTAAAATGTATTTCACTGGGCTGTGCAGGTATTATCTACTCTGCTGTGCATGTATTATCCACTCCACACACAGCTAAGAACTATGATCAGCTATAAGGCTAAACGTGTTAAATCATCTCCAGTATTTACTAAAATATTTGGGAAAATGTCTAACAGTCTTGAGGTCAGCATTGTCAATTTTTGTACTCTAAAAAGCGGCAGCACCATCATCAAAACCCAGAAGCTTTTGGCAGTTTAAAGTGATGCTGTTCTGGATTTACATTGATATATACTTGGTCGGACCATTTTTCTGTCTATTCACAGTGATTTTACAAACATGGAAATCTTGCCCAAGGCACAGCAGTATTGCATTAACTTGGTCTATATTTTGTGCAAACACCTGTAAGTTTGTACAGCTACAGCCTGCAATCTTCTGGCTGGATTCTGTGACACGACCGGTGAGATAAAGCAACACTTCACAAATCTTCCCAAGTAGTAATAACTGTACTCCTTTAAATACGTGGTAAAAAGAACAGATACCAGAAGGAAGCAAGCAGAAAAAGAGAAGAAAGAAAGCTGAGCCAGGAGACTGCTGGGCCTTTTCTGCTGTCAGTTTAAGACTGTGATCTTCAACCATTAACAAAAGTATCAGCACATAACGAATTTAACGAATTTAGGGAATTAGGTGGAAATAAAAGAGAGGGAATTAAAGCAAAATGCCACTGTAAATATTCAGTGGAAAACTATGCCCATGCACCAGAGAGCAAAAGAATAACACGCCTCCTGGTTAAGATGACTGCAAACAATGCTCAGTAACTACTGCCAGCTGAGAACGAGCATGTGCTGTGACCTAACCCACCAGCCAGAACCCCAAGGACACTGCTGTGCACATTAATGATGAGCTACTCCAAAGCACAGAACACAAGAGGAGAGAGGCTTCCAAGCTCCTTCAGGGCTGCCTTCCTCTGCTCAGTAACAACAGGTGGGCAAGAACATGGGATTTAATTCTTAAGAAAGGCCATTTATCCAGGTGCCTGCAGTGTACCCTGGCACGAGAAGTGACTCACTGCCCTTTTTGAGCATAATCTTCAGGAATAAATCATTTCTCACCTGTTAGCCCTTAAGCAGCTCAAGCACGTTCCATAATTACCAAACACAGGATAAAACAACCTGTTCCACAAAACTCCAAAACATTTCACAGCTTGCACTAAACCTGTTTGCTGCCTTTATGACTGGACACTTATCCCCAGTCCACACCACAGAGCCTTATGGATACTGCTACCAAAGCCAAGGAAATTACTACACTTGCTCCCAATCCACACCAGAGGGCCTTATGGATACTGCTACCAAAGCCAAGAGGATTACTTGAATACATGGTAAGCAGAAACTGTACAAGAAAAACAAAAAGCAGAAATTTAAAAGCCGGAGCAAAGCACCCACTGTTCACCTGGACCATCACACAGCTGCAGCAGCCACGTCAGTCACTGCCTGGCCTCTAACAGATGCTGGCTAAAGAGAAAACTGCTGTCATGGAATGAACGCTTTCTACAGAGGAGCCAAAATCCAGCTCAGGAAAGCTGTGCAACCAGGTGCTTTGACTTCCTAAAGAACACAAACACATTTTATAATATTACATATTTTAAAAGTCTACATAGAGGCCTTAAGGTTCTCTTCTGCACTTCTCGTTTTAGTGTTCTTTAGCAAAACAAAAAAGGAGAGGGCAAAAATTTAAGGAACTACCTCATGCATTTTTCACTTAAGACATGTAAAAATAACCTTGCAATGTAAGACATCCTGCTTCAAAATATTACTCATTTTATTACAAGACAGAGCAATACTCAGTCTAGAGGGAGGTGAAAAATACAGTGGCAAAATAAAGCTAAAAACCAAAAAGCTATCAAAAATCACACAAAATAAGATAAAACCAAATTATGATATAACATTAAAGAACACAGAATTTATTGCTATGAAATGCAACATCAGAATTAGCTGGTCAGTGAGTTATCACACGTTCAAAATAGGGTTGTTCAGAACCCAAGAAACAAGGTGATGTTGGAGGCAATTATAAGAAAGTTTAGTGGACACGAAAATATAGATGCATAAAGAAATGTAATGAAATGTGCAACACTCTCTCTCTACAGATGAAGATAAGAAACTGTCTCTTTTCTCACTTAAACCAGAAGCCTCTCCATCAGCAGAGTTGCTCCTCTGCATTCCCCAAATGAAATGGCTCACACAGCGCCAGGTGTGCCACCCCTCCCACACAAACCCAGATGGACTCACAGAGGACAGCCACGGCTCCGGACTCGAACATGAGGCACTCCTCCCTGCTCCTGGTCTCCACCATCACGCTGAAGGGAGGCGGGTCCAGCTTGTGATACACTCGGAACCCCTTGCTGAAAGCCATGGTGCCTCGGCAGGGCAGCCCTGGCAACACAAGATGGATGGTGTTAGTGATGCAGCCTGCGACAGGCTGGGTATCCCTTGCTGAAAGCCATGGTGCCTCAGCATAGGCAGCCCTGGCAACAGAATCGTGTTAGTGAAACCCCCCTGCAAAGCTGGTTTGAATCCTTTCCCAGGGATTTCACGTGTTCAACAAAAACTAACAACAAATCCCCTGCTCCCCCATCCTACCTCACGAGATTTGGTTTACCTAAGTCCAAAAAAATACAGGGATTACCTAAAGATGGCATAAGAGTGTTCCAAAAACAGAACTAGCCAGAGAAACACCCTTCAACATTTGGATTTATTTGAAAGCTTGCTTAAGAAAACGAGAATTTTACAGAATCCCTCATTGGTTTGTGCTGGAAGGGACCTTGAAGCTCATCCGGTGCCACCCCCGTGCCACGGGCAGGGAAACATTCCAGTAGCCCAGGTTAATCCAAGCCCTGTCCAACCTGGCCTTGGATAATTCCAGGGATCGAGCAGCCACAGCTTCTCTAGGCACCTTGTCCCAGGGCCTCAACACCTTCTCAGGGAACACACCTAAATCTAACCCTACTCCATTTTAGCTTAAATTTCTTTCCCAAAACTTGATGAACAGGATGTCTTCTCGGGGAAATAAAACAAAAAATAGTTTTCCAGCTACCAGCAATATGGAAGAGCAGCAGCCACCTTAATGGTATACCAGTGCCAAAAGCAGAGGGAGAGCCTTCAATTTTTAGATCTATTTCACCAATTCTGCCCTTGTACAAAAGGACAGGATATTTTAAACTCTGAAGCCGTCAAGACATTTTAAAGGACTGAACAAACACATGAACCTATTTTTGGCTTTCCCCCCGCCTTCCTTCACGAAAGCAGCGTTTGATTCGGATGTAAACCCTGCCCTGCGGCGGCCCAAGCATCGCAGTGCCGTGCTGGTGACGCTGCCTGCCAGCCACACGCGAGTGCGATCCTAAAACCCCCCCCGGAACTCTCTCAGCGCAGTAAACCAAAAACAAACGCGAGAGCAGCCCCATAGCCGTGCTGAGCATCGGCAGAACGG